TCTGTCTAGGTAACTATCTGTCCATCCATTTCTTGCTTTCTATGTGTCCAGTTATTATGGCTTTGATGGTTATTATACTTCAATGCAATGGAATATCAAGCTGTTTTCACCTTTTGTGAATAAACTATACTGAAATTTTCCCCAACATCTTGGCTCATCCATCCTCAAGTATGTGTCTATTGTTTATGAAGAAATAAGTGGTGAAGCAGATTTCTAATTTATCCAGTTCATGTTCATTTCAATATCTGGAAAATAGTTAAGAACTGGGTTGGAAATCCATTTTTGATTGAGTCTGAGTTTGTCAACCATGAATGTGCTAGTCTCACAAATATTATAAGTTAACTTCAGGTTTACATCCAAAGCATTGGTTCATCCAAATATTGTTCACACTTCCAAATGTGAATTTCATATAGTTTCCTTCTGGATGTGCCACTGAATATGTTATTTTGATTAGTGTTATCAGGAAGTACCTGAGCATATTTCTTTCTTGAGTGGTAGCTAACAATCTTCAACACAGACTGATACAGTGTATATAGAAAGGTAAAAGGAGATAAGAATTCTACAAAATGAACTGTTTCCTTTTCTCTGGCCATAACTTTTCTCATTTGTATAAAAGCAAGGCTGGGTATCTGATTCCTGATAGGGAATGCATATAGTAAAATTGCTAAGACAACATGTTTATTAGTAATTGTGAGTTGTGAGTCATGGAACCAGAATCCAATATCCCTAGTTTCAAATCTCAGCTACTTCACTTATTAGGTTGTGACCTCTTACTAGTTTGTGATCATAGAACATTGTCTGGAAATTAACATAATCATTCTTTCCTGTATGTCAGTATATGAAAATTAAACATAGTAAAGTTTGTAAGGCATTTAACTCATTCCTCAAGTCAGTGTTGCCATTGCACAAAAATGGTGCATAAAGCTGCAGAGGGTGAAACAAACATATAATTTATTTGTGACATTTGCTGAGCACCTGCTAAGGACAGATGTTGCTCTAAGTACTAATAATACAAAGTGCTTCTACCCATTTCCTAGTGAGACTACAATCAAATGTGATATGATATAATGCAACATGATAAAGTGAAAAAGGCCACAAAGGAAAATAAACTAGGGAAAAGGAATGGAAAATGTTTTGGGATGCTGTGTGTTTTTTCTATATAGAGTTGCAGGGAAGGTCTCTCTTTCTGGAAGAGGAGACATCTGACTGAAGACTGGATTAGACCATGCAGTCATCTGGGAGAAGAACTTTCCAGGGCGTGGGTCCAAGATGGCATACAGAGATGCTGTGTGTGCGCCAGCTTTCCACGTTCAAAGACAGCAAAGCCACCATGTGGCTACAGACAGGGAAGATATAATTGTAGGAGACAAAGGCAGGTGAAATACATCCTTCTAGAGTATGGTAGGGGACTCTGGATTTCACTCTGAGTAAGGTTAAAAACCATTAGGGGAAATTAACATAATTTAAGTTTCAAGGACATGTGGGTTTAAATCCTCTGTGTTACTGAACATTTCTGGCTTGCACTGTCCCTTGCTTTGGGAAGGGTTAAAAGATACGACAACCATGAAAGCAACAAACACGAGGCTTGATGCAAAGAACGTGCTCAATAACCTATACCTTGAAGTTCTTCCTCTTTACCGGAAAGTCTAGGACAAGGATGGACACAAGCTCAGTTTCAGTAAGTTTCAACCAGTGCTTTCTTTTCCATGGGTACATACATCCTAGCTGCTGGCATTACCCTCTCCACACCTCGTTTCTACAAAAATATTCTTGTCCTTAAAAGGAATCGGTTACCTGGCATTTACTAACAGTAGTCGTCCATTTAGTTACTAGCTGGTGATACTTGAGTAAACAGGGAATGAAATTGCTTTGTGATTGAAATGAAGATAAAAGAACATGTAACACAGATGGGCCCCTCTGCAGAGACAGCTCCGTGTGAGTCTACAGAGAGCAGCATGCACTTCTGTCCCAGGGTTGCAAAGCGGTCAGATAACGTTAACCTGATTTCAGAGAGCCCTGTAGTCTCGGCTGGAGTTCCATTGCTTTCTCCACACTTCAGAAATATATGTCACATGGAGCCACCCAGAGAGTAACACTAGAGGCCGATTTCAGAGCCAAGCTCTCCTCGGGTTCAAAGTTGGACACACAAGGCTTTCCTGGACTAAGTGTTTCATTTTGGAAAGAACATTTTCCATTTAATCTTTGCCCCTTGTTTGGTCCTTCTTAGTTTCACCTTTTCTTATAGTATTTGTATTGGGCCACTGCCTTTGAATGACTCAGTAAGTGAATATTCAGGGCTGTGGATTTCTTTTCTATCTAAAACAATCAGTCATGAAAATCTAAGGAGATCTGTACAACATACAGAATTTCCAGTAAATGATTTAAAGAATGCCTTCTTGCCTTGCACATTATTAACCTTGAATATTATTAAATGTTTTAGTATTGGGAAAAAATCTTCGAATCTAACTTATACTAAAATGTTAGCAAAGTTGATAGTGAATTCTAACTATGAAAATACTCTCTGGGTCTAATCCATATAGGAATTCCTCTTACATACTGCACGACATCAGTTGGCATTTTGATAGCAGCTATGGCTCCATGTATTGAAGTTTCCCTCTGGACAGAAACTCAACATTTTGTCTCCAGGTCTCTAAATCTGGGAAAATCTCTCTATAATACATTGCAACTATTATCTACATATCATTGAAGGGATGAGAATGTTTCCATCTGGCTAGGGGAGACTCACAACTTTCACCTTGGTATCCCAAATCAAAGCTCTAAGCAAACCTGTTAGAGACTGATAGGTGTGTTTTTTATTATATTATAAAAGACTAATGGCCTGCCCCTTTCAAATGAGAGTGCTCAGTGAAAATACATTATAGATGACAATTTATCTTGAATTTTTTGGATGTATTTCCTAAATATTTTCTCTTTGTTATTTTTCATAAAGAATTCAACTATTAGCTATTAGTTAGCTATTAATTAGCTATCTGTTGCTATAGCTGCTCCAATTAAGTTACCCAGATGCAACTCTTGTCCTTTCCCCAACATTCCAGCTATTTCTAATCCTTTCTATGTAGTACTTAGGAAATACATTATAAATAAATGAGAAAATGGTTTCCATCTGGTAAAATCTCCCTCAAACTTTCTTGCTTCCTACTCTCAACTGAATGCTATTTCCACACATTCTTTCTCTATTCTGTTTTGATGCTGACCATTCTAACTATACTTTTAATCCCATTTTTCCTACTTTCTCCTTGAACTTCTTTCATCACTCATATTCCTTTACTTGAATTTCTCAGCTTTCGCTGTCATATCTTTTCTTCAGCTCAGATGAAAGATTTCTCATTCTAAAAATGTCATTCTTCCTCATCAAGCTCTCACCCACTCCATTTTTCCCCATTCAACCTCCTTGAAGACGGCACTGTTGCATTTACCTTTCACTCCTCTGCTTACATCTCTATATAATTTTCCCCTCTACCAACGTACATAAACTGTTCTTTCAAGACCACTTTCTAGGGGCCAGTGCTGTGCATAGCAGTTTAAACACCTGCCTGTGGTGCTGGCATCTCATATAGACACCCATTCGAGTCCCAACTTTCCCATTTTTGATTCAGCTTCCTGCTGGTGTTCTGGGAAAGCAGTAAAAGATGGACCAAGAAAAACATGGTACCCAACCAAAAGGAGTCAACTGAGCAGAGAAAACTCTACTATTCTTTTTATCCCACCAAAACCTACCCCCATAGTCTAGAGCAAACCTCTGTAGAACAACTTCCTTAGCCATAAGAGAGGAAGATCTCTTCTACTCAGGATTTTAATGCAAGGATTATATTCCTGGTGTAACTGCCTTGTAATAGTGAAGGCAGGTGAAGACATGCAAAGAATCTAATACTCACCCAATGATCCTTCTAAAAACCACTATAAAGAGAGGAAAAGTTATGTCAAAGAAATAGTGAAAACAGAAGACAGAAGAGATACCCACCGCTAAGCCTTTAAGTAAATGCAACAAATTTTTTTCTAAAAGAACACTAATAATTACTTTGAGGGATAACAAAAACAAGATTGAACTGAATCTTACAATAATACACCATATAAGTCAGTATCTTAGCTCTATTATTCTTCAGCAATACAGTAATTTTTTTTTATTATTTTGGGCACCTGAAACTTCCTAGACTAGAGTAAATATCAAAATAGTAGAACTTCAGTCCACAACCAGAAAGTCAGGAAAAATAGTCTGTCATTTCTGTTCAAGACAGAGTAGCAGCAACCAGCTGTACTCTCTTCCCTGAAGCAACAACACACAAAACACTACAGAGCCCTAACGAGACTCCCGGAACACTAAAGGTGAGGTAATGAACAGACATATGGAAAAATGAGATGGGCCATACAAAACCCCACCATTCTGCCATGAGGACATTCTTAGACTCCAACACAGGGAAGAGAAATGCAGGTGGAAAACTGGCAAACCCCCTGACTGGAAGAGCTGGGACTGAGGGTCTGGGAGACCAAGACAGGGGTCACAGAGCGATGGAGAGGAGAGAACAACTCAGGGAAAGACCACCAGGAAGCTGCAGCAGTTTCTGTTGATTACTGAGCAGGGCACACACGTGAAGGCGGACAGAACCACCAGAAAAGAGCAGAAGGAAGACTGTCCGGCGTTTCTACAGGGCCAGGGCCAGTCAGACCAGAAAGCTGCATGTTTTGTAGGACAATCAGAGTCATCCAAACGGTCTTGCCTCAGAAGTAGGGGACGCTTTGCCCTAGATTGAGCACTGTTTTGGTCCTAACCACACATTGTAAAGCAAGATTCCAGAGAATTATACAACTTAAAAAAGAAAAACTTAACTTTCCCAGGAGCAGAATATATAAAATATATAAATATATAATATGTTAATTATATGTTATACATATTAATATATATAACTAAATACTTGATACTCAACAAGATAAAAATACCCAATGACCAGCATTCAGTTAAAAATTAACGCACAGGGGCCAGCGCTGTGGCACAACGGGTTAAAGCCCCAGCCTGCAGCACCGGCATCACATATGGGCTCCGGTTCGTGTCTCAGTTGCTCCTCTTCTGATCCAGCTCTCAGCTATAGCCTGGGAAAGCAGTAGAGGATGGTCCAACTCTTTGGGACCCTGCACCGATGTGGGAGACCTGGAAGAGGCTCCTGGCTCCTGGCTTCAGATTGGCTCAGCTCTGGCCGTTGCAGTCATTTGGGGAGTGAACCAGAGGAATGGAAGACCTCTCTCTCTCTCTGGCTCTACTCTCTGTAACTCCTCTATCTTTCAAAATAATAAAATAATTCTTAAAAAAATTAATGCACAAGCATGTAAATAGGAAAGTATGCTCATAATATGTAGAAAAATCTCACAATTGAAGCCAATACCAAATTGATGCAGATATCATTAGCATACAATGACGTCAAAGCACTTCTATGACATATAGGAAACTGAATTCCATATATTCAAAAACTTGAGGAGAAATATGGAAGACAACTTTTCAAAGAGCATAATTGAACTTCTAGAAATAAAAATTACAAAATTACAACAACTGAGGTAAACTACAATGTTTCCATTGCTTGTGATGGAAAAAATGGCAGATTATACATTGCAAAATGAAACCACTGAACACTAAACACACAGAGAAAAAATTACAAAAATGGAGAATCAGTGAACTGGGGATCAATTTTAAGCACCTCAATTGACATACAATTGCAGCCTCCAATGAACAGGGATAAAAAGTAAACAGAAAAAATAATCTGAAGGAAAAATAATAAAAACAAATTCAGCTTTACAAAACTATAAACCCTTAGTTCCAAGAGGCTTACCAAGCACAAAGAATTATCAAAGGTATACTAACGTCAAGCACAATTAAATTGCCCAAGCCATCTTCCTGAACATGATAAAGTGCAACCATTTTTAAAGCTTACAGTTAGCATCACACTTACTTTCAAAATGCCAAGTGCTTCCTCGAACACCAGTCTGCTCTCATCCCTTCTGTTCAACACTATATTGGAGATGCTGGCCAGTGCAATAAGGCAAGGACAAAAAAGTCAAAAGATATCCAGACTGGAAAAGTACAACTCTCCTAAGGCACAGAAACAGTGATTCCCTAGGTAGAAATCCCAATAAAATCATGTTAAATAACAGGAATTTAGCAAAAATTGCTGGGCTAAAAAGTCAAAAACCAGCAAATTAATTTTGTTTCTAAATACTAGAATTAAACAACGAAATATTTAGGAATAAATTTGATGAAAGATGTAAAACACCTATGCCTTGGAAACTGCAAAACATTACTAAGAGAAGCTAATTAAATATAATTAAATGGAGCGATACACACTCTTAATTGTCTGAAAGACTCTAATTATTAAATGTAACAATCCCCCACCACACATAACAATCTATAGATTTAAAACAATGTCAATTGAAATTCCAGATTTTTTTGTAGAAATTAACTGGTGATTCTAAAATTATATGAAAACAAAAAATCTAGAATAAGTGGAAGAATTTTGAAAAATAAATGGACAACTAACATTACCTGATTGCAAGATTTAGTTTAAATCAATAGTATCAATACAGTGAGATATTTAAGTTCATAGAGACACATAAATAAATGCAACAGAAGAGAAAGTACCGAAATAGGATTACATAGACAATTTTTTTTTAAAAAATTATGGCTTAAAAAAGGTAGAAAACATTAATTATTAACAAGAAAGAATTTAGAGAAAAGAATCTCTTTTCAGTAACTTGTGATGGAATAACTGGATATTTATTATTTATTTGCAAGTAGGCTGGCAGAGTGGGGGGGAGGAACACAGGTATCAAAAGAAATTATTTCAATTCATTTCTTGAGCCACATAAAAAATTTAACTGAGCAGATCACAAACCTAAGTAGAAAGCATAAAACTGTAACATTTCCATATAAAAACATAAGAAAAATCATCATAATCTCATGTTCAACAATGATTTCACAGCTGTTAAACTAAAGGCACAAAATATAAACAAAAATATACAGATTAGATTCCCTCAAAATTAATAATTTACATTTTTGAACAGATACTATTAAGATAATTAAAGGGCAAACTGGGTTGATAAAAGATATTTGTAAATCATGTAGCTGATAAAGGACTCATAATCAGAATATATAAAGTATAATTTTAACTAATAATTAAACAAGAACAGCAAAATATAATAAAAGAGTTTGCAAAATATTTGGACAGACAGTTTAACAACAACAACAAAAATACAGATAAAATATAAGCAAATGAGAAGGTGTTGAAATCATTAATCAGGGAAAAGCAAAATAAAATTGGAAAGAGAATCACTGCACAACTATTAGAATGGCTCAAATTAAAAAGACTGCACCAAGCACTGAGGATATAGAGCAATTAGACTTATCAAACACAGATAACATGATTAAGAAGTTGACATTCAAAAAAATTTAATATCTACCTTCAATATATTCCAGCCATTCCACCCCTAGCTGTTTCTGAAAGAGAAAAGAAAGTGAATGTTGTTAGTGCCTTTATCTGCATAGTCAAAAAGTGACAACAACCAAAAAGTTCACCAAAACATGAATACATGTTGCATTAAATCTTTTGGAATATTACTCAGCAAAAAAAAAAAATGGCAACAAACTATTGATACAGATAACAATATGGATGAATAACAAGCATGTTAGTCAAAAGGAAGGATGCCGAACCAAAAAAAAAGTATGTATTTGATTACTGATTCCATCTATATGCAATATAGATTTGAAACTTGGTTCCAATCTATACACCATTTCATGGAGAAGTATATCTTCTAATTCATGAAAAAGCTAATTTCTTCCAAATTTTTAGATGTTAACAATGCCTGTCAATAACACAATATGACTTTTTAGAATAGAACTATTGTGCATGTTTTGTGAGATTCACTTCCATGCATTTAATGTCTTTTGTGTAATTTAAAAAAAATTTTTTTTAAAAGGCAGAGTTATGGAGAGAGAAAGAGAAACAGAGAGTGAGTGAGAGAGAGAGAGAGAGAGAGAGAGAAACTTCCATCCTCTGGTTCACCCCCTAAAATGGCCACAATGACTGGAGCTGGGCTGGTCTGAAGCCAGGAGCCAGGAGCTTCTTCCAGATCTCCTACATGAGTGCAGGGGCCCAAGCATTTGGACCATCCTCCGCTGCTTTCCCAGGTGCATTAGCAGGGAGCTGAATCACAAGTGGAGCAGTCAGGTCTCGGACCAGCTCCCTTATAGGATGCCTGCATCACAGGCGGCTTAACCCACTACACCACAATGAGAGCCCCTTGATATAATTTTAAGTGTATTGATTTTGAATTTTATTTTCTGTGACTTCTTACTGCATAGTAATTTTTAAAAATTTTTATAGCATTAAGATTACATGTTAATTAATGGCGTACAAGTTTTTAATATCTAGATATGCCATCACAATACTTTCTATATGTTTATTAAGAGTTTTTATAATGAAAATTGTTAAATTTTATGACATGCTTTTTCCACGCTTTGGGATTTTTTTTAAAAATTTATTCATTTGAGAGGTAGAGTTACAGACAGTGAGAGGGACAGACAGAGAGAAAGGTCTTCCTTTTGCTGGTTCACTCCCCAAATGGCCACAAGGATGAGAGCTGTGAAGATCCAATCTGAAGTCAGGAGCCAGGAGCTTCTTCCAGTCTCCCAAGTGGGTACAGGGGTCCAAGGACCTGAGCCACCTTCTACTGCTTTCCCAGGCCATAGCTGAGAGCTGGATTGGAAGAGGAGCAGCCGGGACACAAACTGGTACCCTTACGGGATGCCGGCGCCGCAGGCAGAGGATTAACCTACAGCGCCACAGTGCCTGCCCTGGGATGTTTTGTTTAAGATTTGTGTATATAAAGAGAATTGAAAATGAATCTTGATGTGAATGGAAGGGGAGAGGGAGCGGGAAAGGGGAGGGTTGCGGGTGGGAGGGAAGTTATGGGGGTGGGGGAGCCACTGTAATCCATAAGCTGTACTTTGGAAATTTATATTCATTAAATAAAAGTTAAAAAAACATATAAAAAAATAAAGAATTCTCTACACACACACAAAAAAATATTTCTGTTTTGGGAACTAGTGTTGTGGCATGGAGGGTTAAGCTGACACCTGCAACCCAGGCATCACATATGGGCACCAGTTCATGTCCCAGCTACCCTATTTCTGGTCCATTTTTGTGCTAAGGTGCCTGGGAAAGCAGCGGAAGTTGACCCATATGCTTGATCCCACGCCACGCACAGGATGAAGTTTCGGGCCCCTGGCTCAGCTTGGCCCAGCCCTGACCGTTGAGGCCTTATGGGGAGTGAATCAGCGAGTGGAAGATCTGTCTCTCCTTCTTTCTCTGTAACTCTCTGTCAAATAAAAAATAAATAAATATTTGTTTAAAAAGAGATTTGCATATTTTCATGAAAGAGATAGGCTTGAAAATTTCTTTCCTAATCACTCAGCTTTTACTCTGAAGGTTGTGCTAGCATCATAAGCCACGTTGAGAGCAGTTTCTCTCTCTTTTTATTCTCCAGAAAGTAATGTGTAAAGTCGTTATTAGGAAAAACCTTATGTGTTTTGGAAAATGATGGGGAGAAAATTTTTAATTATGAACTCCATTCCATTATTAGATACAGAATTATCTGTACTTCCTTCTTGTTTCAGAGTTGAGAAATTGTGATTTGCTGGCAATTTGTACATTTCATTCAAACAATTATTTTTAACGCATGGTGTTTAGGATATTATTATATTTTAAATACCTGAAGGATCTTTGATGATGTCCCCATTTTATTCCTGATATTGACCAGTGGTTTCTTCTCTCACATGCTTGCACACCTCTCTTGAGCTCTTTCTTGGTGAGTCTTTCTATAAATCTATGAACTTTTACTACTCACTTCAGTGAATCATATACCAAAAATTTTTTTAATTTTTTATTTCATTCATCATGCTTTTATGCATTTTTCTTCCTTTCATTTTCATGAAGAAATCAATTCATTGCTATCATTCTAATTTCTTGAAGCAGATCATCAATTTCCTTGCTTTCAAAATCTTCTTATATATGAATGCTAGACTTCTCATTTCCTTCTTAGCTCAAGCTACATCCCAGAATTTGATGTCTTATTTTCACTATCACAGAGTAAATATTTTTCTACTTTTCTTTTGATTTCCAGAATCTCTCCTGATTACTCTCTCTCTTACTAGAGGCCTCCCATCCAACATTTTGGATCTCCAGCTTTTTGTCCTACTGCTGGATGGAGCAAATGAGCTGAAGTTAAAAATGGGTTCTCTTTGCTCTGCATGGTTCCCTTTCTCAGGGATTTTTTTTCTTCCTCAAATCTTTGTTGCCACAATAGTTCCCCTGTGCCTTACAATAGATCACTTTTATGTATTCTTCACTTTATTTGTTATTCTCAGTGAAAGCCTAGGTGAAATTCTAGCCCATAAAAGAAGCCTCCAAATTTAATTTTATATTCATAAATTGATGTTCTTTTCCTTAAGGTCACCCCCAAATTGTATGTGTTTTACCCCTCAAAACATAGAGCTTCCTCTGTTTTAATCAGTCCTTGTTTATTAAAGTTATTAATAGTGGTCTGCTTTATAGTATTATCCAACTTGGCTATACATTTTTGAAGGCAATTTAATTATTCAATTATGGATTCTCAAGGAAATTTAATTTGATATAATTTAAGAGGAAGTTTTAAAAGTAGAAAGAAACACTAAAAACATGGATAGAAAAAATAAACCCAAACAAAACTAGGAAAATATGACCTATTATACAGAAGGAAATAAAAGTATATACAAATATTTTTCATAAATAATTTATACTTACATGACAAATGTAAAAAGAGTAACTATAAGAATATACTCATATATATTTATATTACAAATGTATAATTCTGCATATAAATACATTAATATACTACTTTAACTATATTATTTAAATATAAATATATAAAATTAATTGTACATATTCACATTTCCTTTCTATATAAGTCATATTTGCCTACATTTATCTATTAAGTATAAGCATGTATATAAATTGTTTTATGCATCAAAACAATTAAATTTGACCCCCTAATCTTTACAGCCCTTAACCATTTCATATAGTTCCATCATAAATTAAAAACAGGTGGAACACTCCTGAATATCATTTTCTCGGGACTTTGCTTATCAATTATACTTCTTTCTTCATTGCTAAAAATAACTGAAAAGTAACTGCATCATGTTTGTCACTTAAAAGCAAATTTTGGGCCGGCGCCGCGGCTCACTAGGCTAATCCTCCGCCTAGCGGTGCCGGCACACCGGGTTCTAGTCCCAGTCGGGGCGCCGGATTCTGTCCCGGTTGCCCCTCTTCCAGGCCAGCTCTCTGCTGTGGCCCGGGTGTGCAGTGGAGGATGGCCCAGGTGCTTGGGCCCTGCACCCCATGGGAGACCAGGAAAAGCACCTGGCTCCTGGCTCCTGCCATCGGATCAGCGCGGTGTGCCGGCCACGGCGGCCATTGGAGGGTGAACCAATGGCTAAGGAAGACCTTTCTCTCTGTCTCTCTCTCTCACTGTCCTCTCTGCCTGTCAAAAAAAAAAAAAAAAAAAAAAGCAAATTTTACCAGAATTTTCTCACTGAGAAGCAGGGATTGATACATTTTTATCAGCACTTCCTAACTAGCTACATCATGTTCCTTTGTGTACTGTTCCCATTGACAGTGCTGTTATGAAAAGCCATAGTGCATGCTGGGTAATGCAGACTTCAAGCATTCACACTCTATTAATTAATTCATCACCTAAAAGCTAACTATTGATTTTTTAATGGTTTTACAAATCTATTTAAGCTTGTGTGATGTGATTAAGAGGATGTGTGTTTACTGTAAATTATCTAACAAGTACAATGGTATTAGTCCCAGAAATAGAAACAATTTAGCTTGTGAGAGAAGAGGGAAAAAGAGCTTCATTAAAATATTTTCCAAAAACTGATTATTTATTTAATAGCTATTATATGCCATTAAATTATGACTTTGAAAGAAAATGCCTACTTCGAACCATGGACACTATATTTCTTAATGGTTAAAAATGAAATCATATAACAATGAAAATTTCCCCTAATTTTACTACAAATTATAGTAAGATAACCATTGTTTAATTGCCAGAAATGGCCAAATGTCACTCTTGTTCTTATTGTTGAGGATATGTAGTTATTTTGCTTATTTCTATTTCTATTCTTACAACATGGCTCATGAGGCATTTAGAAATATCCCCACATGTGTTAATTATAGAACTGCCTTTAGCTTTTATAATATTGGAAACAAAACAACACAATCTATTCTTAGGTCTTAAAAAGGATTTAATTGATGTATCTACTAAAATGAGAAATTGTACCATTTATAGAATAAATTGGTTTTCTATAGCTATATAGTTAAATGAAATATTTTGAGAATGACTAAATTGCATTTCAGAGAGCACAATTTTCAGTCTGTTTGGAATGGTAAGAGTCAC